GCCTAAAATTGCAGGCAGTTAGAACCTATTATTCTGGGTTTGTAGTGCTCTCTTCCTAAATACTTTTTTTCTGTTTTAATATGAAGGGCCTATTCATACCACATTATTTTGTAAGAATAGAAACCCAGAGGGTCTGGAAACATACCATATTCTTGAGAAGAATGCTGAACAAAAAGGCTAGTGGAAAAAATAGGGTGCAAATATAGTCTTCACCTATTCCACTATTTTCCCAATAGTCAATCCTGGTGACACATATGAAAGTTAATAAGTCTCATAGCAAAATGCCTGAAGTATAAAACTGATACAAGAGATGCCATTCTTTGCTTCATTCCTTGGCCTCTTGCTCACTGTTTACAACTTTGACTAAATGGGCACCAAAGAGATCACTCACAATTTATTGAAATCTCATTTTTCTGGTTAATTCACAGCACATTGACCGAAATGGCTGGTAATTTGACTGAATAAAATTTCTTAGGAACATTTTCTGAAACACAATTCATTAAAAATTCATATTATGTGAATCGTTTTCCGTGTCAAGACTACAGATTCTTCACAGGGGCCCTCAAGGACTGGCCATGTGCTAAACCTGTCTCCATAACAAGCCTTTGAATTTCAGAAAAAAAGAATCTCTCTTCCAGCTACAAAGTATGTTTTTTTCCTGAAAGAAGTTATACATCCTCATATGACTCTAAAAATGTCTTAATGGAAAATATGCAAATATTGAACCCTTTCAAAGATTTATTTATTCTTATTCATGAAAATTTATTTCCTCTTTCATTTTGCTGATTACAGTTTTAAGAGTTATTTGAGAAGAATATTTTTTGAACTACCCTCTGTCTTAATTATTGTTATTGTTCCAATTCAGGCTCTAATTACCTCAAACATAATGATCTATCCTCTAAAAGAGGGCTTCACCTCCTCTTTTGCCCTCTCCTGCAATCCATTCTGTGCACTATTGTCTCAGTGATCATTCAGAGAAAAGTAGAAAGAAAGCAGGCTCTAGAGCCAGTGAGATGTGAGTCTGAATCTTGCCTCTCCCACTTCCTTATTTATAATCTTTAAGAAGTTATCTAATTTCTCTGTGCTTCAATTCATTAATGGTTAAAATGGGAGATAATATTAGTCCCTATTCCATAGGATTGATGAATTAAATTAGATGATGAGTGCAAATTGCCTAGAATGGTTATAGGACATGGAAAGTACTCAATAATAATTTTATTTTCCCTCCTCCAACTCTATTTATATCCTTTCAATTATTTCCTGTGTCCCAGGACTTGTATACTCTAAGACATTTTTGCAGAACTCCATCCTCCAAGCTTCTTTCCCTCTGTTTCATACCATGCTCTATGGGTCAGACAAAATTTTGTCCTCACTTTCACACAAATAGTACATATTTATTCTCCATTCATGTACTTGGCAATATTCCTTCTCTCTCCTGGAATCCCTTGCCTCTGGTACTCTCTTTAAATTTTCTGAACTTCATACACTCAAGTGTTCCTCTGCAGATTTTATTATTTGCATATGCTCTATAGTTTCGTGGGGTTTCTTTTGTAGTTTTTTTTTTTAAATAATCACAGGATTTAAAATTTAGTTACCCACTTTAGCCTCTTCTTAAGATGTATTATCTAAGAAATAATATATTTGTATGGCTAATGTTATTATACTGGAAAGATTTAATGAATATATAGCTTTAATTTTTAAGCTTTTCTTCATACCATCTAAAATACAACAACCTTGGTATGTCTCCACTAGGACACATATTATATTTTGGGAGACACTGCTTTAAGCAAAATTTGCTCATCAAGAAAGGACCAGAAAATCACCTCCAACAGATTCAGCCCCTGGTTAATTTGTCATCTTAATTTTCACACAAATTAACAGTAAATCATATACTATGCTATATTTTCTAATTATTTTATGAGTAATTAACTTGTCACTTAACCTGTGGAATCTTGGAGGATAGGAAACACAGTTTTTGCTTCCAAAACCCAGCCTTCCCACACAGCTTTGGAGAAATTTCTCATTATTGTAGTTCATTAAGTATTTGTTAAATGATTAGTTTCTTAAAATGCATGGAAATACTCTGCAGATATATAATCAGACATGGAAAACTCTTGATGGTGGTTTATCTGAAGCAATTTAGTTTCACTAGCTCTGATTAAAAAATAATTGAGGTTTGCAGTTCACTCTGTCCTTTATTTTTCATTTTTTGATTCCACTAATGTTCCAGAAAGGACTGGAAATTGTTTCAAAGGAAGAATGTTATAAGAAGGAAATATAAGTTAAGAGTAGATAAATAATAATAATAAAAAAATTGGCAAAGACATAAAAATTGAGATATGATAAAAACGAATCCCACAAAGTACACCATGAAATATCTCCATAATTGCTACCAGTAGACTCTAAGTTGGTTCAAGATTTCAGACTTTGTAAAAGAGACACATGACCAATTATAAAGTCAGTGTTCATAAAAAATAAAATCTAACCATTTGTTTAAGAAAAAAATATCTAGCTTCTTCTAATACTAAATCACATAGAGCTCTGAGGTTACCTAGGAAACACAATACATGGTAATGAATAACATCCTCAACAATAGCTATCACTCCTCATTTATTGATACAATTAAAATTAAAAGACTTTGAAGCACCAAATCATGAATTTTCCCCAGCCTATGGGAGACATAATTTATCAATTAAAGTAAACTTTGATGACATACATAAGAATAAGGGAATAATTTAGAAATATTGGTAAAATAGTACAACTGCACTACTTTTAAGACTCTTATAATTAGGGTACTTATTACTTGGTTTCAGTTTATAATAATTTGTGGACCATAGGTCACACCTAGTAACTAAAAAACTTTCTTCTAAAAGTTGATTGGAGATGATTGTTAGGTTATCAGCTTGCTTTTTTGCTCCACAGATTTGTTTATTATAATTGCAATAGTTCATTTTCATGCTGCTGATAAAGACATACCTAAGACTGGAAAGCAAAAGAAGTTTAATTGAACTTACAGTCCCACATGGCTGGGGAAGCCTCAGAGTCATGGTAGGAGGCAAAAGGGACTTCTTACATGGTGGCAGCAAGAAAAAATGAGAAAAAATGCAAAAGCAGAAAGCCCTTATAAAAACATCACGTCTCATGAGGCTTATTAACTACCATGAGAACAGTATGGAGGAAACTGTTCCCATGATTCAAATGATCTCCCACCAGGTCCTTCCCACAACATGTGGGAATTTATGGAGCACAATTCAAGATGAGATTTGGGAGGGGACACAGAGGTAAACCACATCAATAATTAACACTCAAAATTTACTTGAGTTAAAATTTTTCTACATTTGAATTGAGACACTGACTTCTGGTTTTCTTTTACTTCCCTTTTTAGGTTTAGTGATAGAAGAGCATACTTGCATGCAAGACAGAAATGAAGTGAACTGGCAGGCTTCCTTCTCACTATGTGAAGGTTTTGTCCATGAAATGAAGTTGGGATGTGGTGATGATAGCTAATTGTAAGAAAAGGATTTTATTTTCTTTCTCTATCCCAGGGTTTTACAGGCCTGAAACTTTTTGTTGTTGTTGTTCAGAGGAGAATCTTACCCTAAGAAAACTGGCTCATACTAGCCATAGTGAGGAAAAGAACTACCAAAAGGACTGAGATGTGGATTGGCTTGTCAGTGTACTCTCTTTTCAGTAGGGATGCCAAGTCAGAAAACTAAATTATCAACAAATAGGAGCTGAATAAATATTTGAAATCAAAATTAAGAAGGGAATTACAAGATTAAACTTGCTTCATTTGATATACATCAGCCAGGATGAGTACCATCTCCCTTTGCCAGTCTTCACAAGTTATGATGTTTCCAAGTTCTTAGTTTCCAATGCTGACAGCTTCTCTTTTCCATCTCCTGACACTCTTGTGATTTGTATTGGACATCTTTGAGTGTTGGGTGTGGATCTACTTAATTCACTAGTGGTTCCAGTGCTATAAAAAGAGTTTGTTGCTTATCCAGGTTGCTGTCCTGTAAGAAAGTTGCCATCCACTTTTTTCTTTAATAAGTCTTATCCATGAGTCAAAATTCTCCAGTTTGACCCATCCTACAGTAATTATTTTGTCTCGTTTGCTAAGGTTGTTACTCAGAAAGCTTTTTGCAGCTACTGATCTTGGGTTTTGAATGTGGTTTGCTTACGTATCCACAGAGGTTTGTGCTGCATTTTAAACCTTGTTTCTCAAAATTACTCTCAGACTTAGTTGACACTATAGTCCTCAAGCGTGTGATCTCTCTGTATTCACATGGTTTTAAAGGCCCCATATACATTGTACATAAATACAAGAATTTTAGTACACTGAAGGGAGACTCTGTAATCAATAATGTTCATTTATTTATTTATGCATTCTTTGAACATTTGTTTATTCATTAATTCCCATATGTATTTATTTAATAACAATTCATGAAAATGCCTTGTGCTGGACAAGTTGGGAATACAGCTATGAGTCAGACATGATCTTTTCCCTCAAGCAATGTGTAGTCTAGTAAAGGGCTAATAAATATACAAAAATAACCCAAATTATGTATTACATTGTAGAAGTACCCAAATTATGTATTAAAGCCTCGAGATGAAGGGGTTGGGAGAAAGGCACTCCAGATGGAGGGAACATCTTAAGCAGAGGTACTTCTACTGTTTCTAATTTTAACTTGTATTTTTTAGGTTTCCTCAGCCTTTGCCCCTCAGGCTTGCACAAGCTGCAGCTTTCCTGTTACTATGTAAACACTCTTTAGATTTGCCTGAAAATTTCATCTTACCATGGAATCTACTGGAATCTAGTGAGAGTCTAGGTATGCCAGTTGTCAAGGATAGAGATAAGGTGAGGAATGCTGCTGTATAGCCATTGTGTGAGTATGTATAGCCTCTGACTCCCTGCTATTTGAAATTCTCTCCACCAATTAAATAAAAAAAATGAAATTTGAGTAACGTCATTTGCTCAAGGGACTTACCTGTCATCTGTGAAAATAAGGTTTCTGTGGTGAGACACCAGATAAACTCAACTTCCTCTTTCAACAACAAATGTGTCAGTTATTAGCAGGATCCATGCTGCCAGAGTAAAGCTTTTTACCCTTTGCTCCCTGCAAAGAAACAAGAGTGCTTATCCCAGCTAAGCTCCAGGGTAAGTTAATGCCTTTCACCTGGGGATTGGTGGTTTCATGTGGGAAGACTGGTGTGATCATAAAGATCAGAACAGAGGTGGATGTGGGGCCAGTGTCTGTATTTAAGTTGTCCCTGGTTTCTCATCTCAGACCTCTTACAACAGGAGCAAAGTTAATTACCGTTAAGTTTGACCAGAGTCCAAAGTTAAGGTTAATGCCATCAGTCCTCTTCATTATGCCAGGAGCATGGAGTCTGTGATGCAGCTCACTCTTTGATGAGGGCTCTTTGTAGAGTGGGACCAAGGAAGATGGCACAAAGTGGTAAGAAAAGTACACAGTGAGAGTCACTGGGACAGCTTGACATATTCAGCCAATAAGAGGCAATCTGATTTTTTATGGTGTATAATTTATCTAGCGACATAATGAAAAAAGATTTTTAGGTGTAAAAGTCTTGCTTTTGAAAATTTAACTTTCAGAGATACTGAGACAAATAGTAGAAAGTAAGACAATATATTCTGGGGGCTGTAAGGGGTCTTAGAGGTCCAAATTCCTCACAATACAGTCAGTGAAACTGAGAGGCAGTGAAGTGAAGACACTTATGTTCACCCAGCTTGTTAGTGGTATAGGTGGAACAAGGACCTGTGTCTTTAAACTCATGTTCCCTTTCCCCTACAGCACTTTGCATCTCCCAGAGAATACTGTAAACGTATTTGTGACTTTGTCACTTTTTAGGTTAGGAAAGGAGAAAATATCCAAGATGACTTCAGAGTCTGCTAAGAATGATTCCGTGATCCTTTGAAAGCTACTTTTTGACCAAAATTCAGCCTTACTGGATAGGAGAGCCCATGAATGAGGCACTCATTTTTTCAGTTATTATTGCTTCAGTTATTCAGGTATTACTCTGAATGCTAGCACCTCTCTCCTTCTGAGCTAAGATGACTAAATCGAAAGGAAACTTTCAGCTAGGGAGCCCCTGAAGGGAGACTGTGCCAAATCAACTGGAACCAAGATTAGTCTGGATAGAGTGATACCAGATTTTGCTGTGCTTTCCGGGGGAATAGGCTCAGTTCCCAGAATCCTGTAAGTGAGAATATTTTTATTTCAGTTGTTCAAACGGATGTGTGGAGTCATCATAATGTCTATTAATCAGAGAATCTGTCTCTTAGTAATTGCAACACAGTAAAATTAATCACTTATGAAAGCAAATGATATACAGATATATAGAGAAAGAAAATGGTGTAAAGTATTCTCAGAATCAGACCACACATTTGGGGCAATTGTTTTTGCGATTGTTCCTGTTGAACACAAATTCTTTGGCCAAATGCAGTTTATTTTTGGGCTCAACTGGGAAAGTTGTAGAGTTCAAGTTGTACAGACTACTCAAATCCAAAGACACCAAATGAGTACACACATTTCTGGGTGGTATTGGTTTGAAGTGAGTTGGGGTCTTAAAAGACAGGCCAGCCTGTCTCTCCTACAGCTCTGTCGTGGCTCAAGCAAAGAGAACAGAGCTGTATGTAGTAAAATGAGACTTTCTACAAGTTCTAGCAATCAGGACAATGGCTTCCTGGGGGTGTATGATTTATTATAAAAGCTTTTGTCCAAAAGGTTTACTTTTACTTCAGATGTGTATATTTTGAGGGGAAGTTTTTACCTAGTATCAATTCATATATATTACAGGTAGAGTGATAAAGTAGATAGATAAATACACAAGGAGTCAGAAGTCTGTGTTATAGTTCAAGTTCTGCCAATGACTTGTGTGATCTTTGGTGAATTATTTCATTTCTGTGGGTCTCAATAATCTTATTTATTATAATGGGATAGGGCTTGGAATAGATAGTTTCTAATTTCCTTCCTAGCAATAAAATGATGTGATATAGGCTGTTAAATATCTAAGAAGAGTTAAATGTCATGAAGTGGTGAATAATGGGGCCATGATAGGGAAATCTATCTAGACAGGACACTCGGGAAATGTAGTTTAGATCTCCAAGAGAACCAAGTATCCTTTCCCAATGGCCATTATATTTATTTCAGGAATTCATGAGAACTTCAACTTTTAGACCACAAGCAAATGCTTTGTAAGTAACTTCCCTTTTTTAAAAATGATAAAATGCAAGAACAAAGATAAAACTTGCTGAAATCTTATTTCCACAGTGACAATGACACTCAATCAGCATTTCTCAATCTTTCAAAGCCAAGGTTCCCTTTGAGAAACAGAAATATTTCACCACAAGGTTATTGTGAACTTGCAATCCTAGAAACCAGACGCTGGACTTGTAGGAAAATCTGCTCCATTACATTTACATTTCTTAAGTACTAAGTGTCAAACAGCCAAGAAGATTCTGTAGATCTGTACTTTCACAGTTTGTATTATAGAAACAATAATAACATTAAAAAAAATTTTATGATAATATTTTTTCAAGTAGTACTTATTTTCTACCTCTCACTTTAAAAATTACTGCTCTAGATCTTCTAGTCCTCTGTTACAATTACACTTCTTAGGAGATGTTCTAAACCTGGAAATGTACAGGATCCAACCAAAGTCCCTTGGAGATGACTCTGTACAAATAAAGAGAAAATAAACTTGCATTTATTTAATGCTTACTGTGTATCAGATGTGAAAATAGGTACTATCACATACTAATTTTTAAACTTGTATTTTAATAGTTTTTGAACTACAAGTGCTTTTTTTTGTTATATGGATGAATTACATAGCAGTAAATTCTGAGATATTTTAGTGTACCCACCACATGACTAGTATACATTGTACCTAATGTGTAATATTTTTGCACCAAGCCTGTCTCAACATCCCCCTTCTGAGTCTCTATAATCCATTTATCACTCTGTATACCTTTGCATAATCGTAGCTTATCTGTCACTTATAAGTGAGAACATCTGGATTTTGGTTTTTCACTCCTGTGTTACTTTTAGTCAGAATAGTGGACTCAAGCTCCACCCAAGTTACTGCAAAATACATTATTTCAATCCGTTTTATGGCTAAGGAGCATTCCATGGTATATATACACCACATTTTCTTTATCCATTCGTTAGTCAATTGGCACATAGATTCATTTCACATCTTTGCAATTTTTTTTTTTTTTTTTGAGACGGAGTTTCGCTCTTGTTACCCAGGCTGGAGTGCAATGGCGCGATCCCGGCTCACCGCAACCTCCGCCTCCTGGGTTCAGGCAATTTTCCTGCCTCAGCCTCCTGAGTAGCTGGGATTACAGGCACACGCCACCACGCTCAGCTAATGTTTTGTATTTTTAGTAGAGACGGGATTTCACCATGTTGACCAGGATGGTCTCGGTCTCTCGACCTCGTGATCCACCCGCCTCGGCCTCCCAAAGTGCTGGGATTACAGGCTTGAGCCACCGCGCCCGGCCTTGCAATTGTTATTAGTAGGATTGCTGTATCAAATGGTAGATTTACTTGTAGCTCTTTAAGGAATCTCCATACTGTTTTCCATACAAGTTGTACTAATTTACATTCCCACTAGCAACATAGAAGCATTCTCTTTTATTCACATAGCACCAGCATCTACTGTTTTTTGACTTTTTAATAATGGCCATTCTCGCAGTAAGTTGCTATTTCACTCTGGTTTTCTCTGATGATTAATGATGTCGAGCATTTTTTTAATGTTTGTTGGCCATTTGTATATCTTCTTTTAAGGAATGTCTGTTTATGTCCTTTGCCCCCTTTTTAATGGCATTATTTGTTTTTCTATTGCTGACTTGTTTGAGTTCCTTGTAGATTCTAGTTTCTAGTCCTTTGTCAGATGCATATCTGCAAATATTTTCTCCCACTGTGTGGGTTGTCTGTTTACTCTGATTATTATTTTCACAAACATTTTTCTTTAATATTCAAAACAATTTATGTGACAGGAAATATTCTAATTTTACAAAAGAGGAAACTGAAGCCTGGGGATATGAAGTAAATTGTTTCAGGCCAGAAAGCCAACAACTGAGACATGATATGATACCAGGACTTCCCAAAGAGCATGATTATTTCCACCCATAAAATGCTGCCACAATGGCAAAAATAATTAGGTCACCTTCCTAAATGATTGAAAATCCAATAAAGATTCATACCTGAAAGTTCAAATTCAAACTTTAAGTTGTTGTTTTGTTAATGTCCTAATTGCTTTAATTCATTTTAAGGATAAAAATAATTTTTACTCCCTCTAAAAAGAAAATGTCTATACTTGCAAGATGTGTCCAAATCTGTGTGTTTCTGATGTCATATAGGCTTATTTGGAGTTGATGTAGATTTATTCAGGAAACAGCAGAGTTCCCAATTCTAGCTGCTATTTTTTGGTTCTGGTTGTGAGCTGTTGAATCAAGAACACCGGAGTCATGGAGATCAGATTGGCTTGGATAATTCATGTGAAATTCAGTGGCTAAAAAATAAAAGAAAAAGGTAAGATGAGGCAAAGCAAGTTAAGTTCCCAGATGACATGTAAAAGTTGTCCTGTAGAGAGTGGGAGGGGCCCCCGTCAGCAACTTTCTCTGTTCAATTTTTAATTCTCCTGCCAGGATGACAAGCCCACAGACCGGCCTCAGCATTAAACAAAATGAAGAAGTAAATTTGATAAACATGTTTATTTAGTGGTGCCAGTGCCTTAATGATGAGTAGTGAAAAGACAGGGAAGATTGAGAGTGAAGATTTATAGAATTGGTACCAGGTGCATAAGTGGCAGCAGTGGCAGTGGTGATGGTATTGGTTAGGGGCAGGGTCCAGAGGGGGAATTCTCATAAAATTATGCCAAATGGGAGCTAGAAGGAAGTTAAAGTTCATGTCATTCAAATCATATTATTTTAATAATGAGAAAATGAAACTCAGAGAAGGGAAAGAGCATATCGGAGCAGCACAAAGAGTAAATATTACTGAAATCTAAGTATCTTAGCTCCAAATCCAGTATTCTTTTCAATATATTCTACTACTTTTAAGTCTTCTGTGTCCTACAAGTCTTGTCCTATTCAGATCACTTCTGTTGTAAAGAAATTGTTCCAGTACTTCT